GTACAAAAAGAATACAAAGGGATTCAAAGATTTTAAATCCCTAGAGACAGCAAGATAAAAAGATACATTTTGTCCTACATGTGTACAGAGCTCCAAAATTTGTGCTATCAGTACAACTCATCAGCACATTCTTCCTTTAGTATTGGTGTGTTAATGAAAACAGCAAGATTAGTCCTAAGACTGAAACCTTTGAGAAAGTCACTGATCACTTCAATTGCTTGTTAGTTTTCCTTTATGAACAGCCTTTATCTGTGTAATTTCTAGTTGAGCTGTGCATATGGTTAGATAGCACCAATTTTTAAATTTTTTTTATTGTTTTGTCTTACAGTTTCTAAAAACTCTCTCAGCCTCAATGTAAAAGCCATGTGTTACAAGCAGCAGAAAATACCTTTGCCTGTGCAAGATTATTCCTTTTTTAGAGTTTGTCACTGTTTCCGGATCATTACATACAGTTCAGAAGGAGAATGCTAGCTGCTATATATCCTTAGCTCAATTTTGCAGATCAACTTCTGTACTCAGCATTTCAAATGACATGCACAGTCCCTCCTTCTCTTCCTTCAGTTTTGCAAACTTCTTTCCTGCTATATTTCTCCTTCTCTATGAATGGCAAATTCCTACTTATTTAGCTACAACACTGAACTGATCATTGATGAGTCCAAGAATTATAAAGATGGAATAGATTATGCGAATGCCTAGTCTTCACATGGATGGGTAAAAACACATTTCCCTAAATAAAAAAAAAAATTAATTGAAGTCATCATATATTTCAACAAGGTATACTGCAATGCAGAGAATGACAGTTACAATAATAAGCAACTAAAAATCAAACATAGCTTTACAATTTTTTTCCAAAGACCACCAAAGCATCTGGGAAGAATGAGCTCAAGGAAATGACATGCTGACATTCTGATAGACAGAAGGACAAACTCAGAAGAAGAAAACCACTGCCCACTACAGCAGCCAGCAACTTCATTGCCAGCAACTGATGAGTACAAACACGTACAGCTCTACAGAAGTGCCACTAAGATCAGCTAAGATCAGTATCTCTGAAGAATTTATGGTATTTCTGGAACATTATGATATTACTTTGGTTTGACATGAATAAAAAAACATATAACCCAAATCACCCACACAACTTATTTGGAAATGCAATCCTAACAAGACCTCTGAAATACTATTTGAGAATAGAAACAATTTATGACAACTTTGTTTAATGATTTCATGACAAAGGCATATAGGAAGTTCCAAATCCTAAATTGCATACACAGTTTGAACTATTAACCTATAAAAATTTTTAACCTGATGAACCTATATCTACATTAATACACTGAGGGTCTTTCAATGAGCAAGCGAGGGGTGTTTGGCTGCCAATTGTATTTGGCACTGATGAGCTGACAGACAGGCAGCTAATTCCTTCTGAAGGCTCAGAAGTTATACCTTGCACGTACATAGCTGACAAGCCTGTGCTTATGGTAAGAGCTATCATGCAGGTGACAGCCAGTCACAGAACTGTGATGGAAAAGACCTAGATATTAGTCATGCACCGAGAATTTTCTGCTGTCTTTCCCTGCCATATGATAACACAGAACAGGTTTTGAGGGAAACTGCATACAATGGAAACTCTCAGAATGCTGGTTTCTCTTTGAACGCTGCAGATAAGTAGCGGGATGTGATATGAGGTTCCTTAGCAAGTGAGAGGACAGTACAATGAAGAATAACTGCTGTTATGAGAGCTGCAGCCCATGCACAGCTCAACTGGAGATATAGAGTGCAGCAGGAACATTTCCCCACTGCAGGCCTCAGTACACTTAGAGGTGGAAAATCATTCAAAAGATGGTGCGTGCATCCAGGTCCTACCATACCAGATCAGCCTGCTAGTCTTACTCACTAGAGCAAAGTTAAGGGGACCAGGATATCTGGATGGTGTGCTAGGCGATACGGTTTAGTAGCTCAGTGGTAGTAATGGTGATAGCAGGACAGTTGGACTAGATGATCTTGTGGGTCCTTTCCAACCTTGTGTTTCAATGATTCTATGAAAGGAAATTTTCAGCATCTCAAAACAAAGGCGAACAACTGGAGATGTGGTCCAAATGGCAATGATCACTCTCATCGTGTCAGAAGCTCAACAGAGGTAGGCACAGCACTTCTTACATTGATGTCAGACATGTCTTCAGCAGAACATTTAACACCAAAATCACTTAAAACTTAACTGCTGCTCTACAGCAAGACAGGACTGCTTTATATCCACCTGCACAATTTTACAGCTCCTCCCAAAGCCTTGAAACCTCTCACAAAAGAGTCAAGTTCTAAAATGAAACATGCTTTCTTACAAGCCCGTTTAGTGTAAGAAAAACGCTAGGAGTGAAACTTCTTAATATTCTAATTCCCATCTTATATATAAAATTCAGTTTTAGAAAAAATACTAAAGTTTAGAGATAAAGGATAAATTAAAGTAGTCAAAGAAAAACAATACTTTTATGTGTTTAAGTGATATAACTGAGGGAAATCAACTTTGAAAATTATTACAAGTTTTGGCCTCAGAAAGTCACAGAGAATGACATCATAACCTGCATTTAAACAAGGCAGCATATTAGCTAGAGATTTATCAGCACTGCCATACAAATACAATGCATAAATCTAATTATAAATTGATAATTATAGAGCAGAAAGTGTTCATACCATGTCTATTAAGCATTTTCATAACCATTGAACCTTGAAATGTAATAGAAAAAATAAAGAGAAAATGCTACAGGTACAGAACTGCCTGTAAATATCAGTGGTTCTGTGGGGTTTAAAGAAGAAAGACAAAAGGAAAGAGTGTTGTTGTAAATATATCCACAGCTTTTAATTACAGATATGAAGTAGAGCCTACTAAATCTATAGAAGCCTTCTAAAGCACATGCAGTTTGCTCAGTAGAAAAGCTGAACTGGATTCTCACTAAAATGCCCAATCTGGATTTTAGAAGGCAATGCATTCAACCTTCTGTTTCCAATCATCAGGACAGATTAACCACAATTTTAGTTAATGTCTTTGACCTAAAAACCTTTCAAAACTGAGTCTTCTTTGAGACATAACAATACAAATGGCTGCTTGATCACAAAGTGATGCTTTAAAAGGTTTCAATAATAGAAACATCCAGCTAAAGCAAGAAGCAGATGAGTGTGTAGCAACAGAACCATCACCACAAGTTCTCTATAGTGCAGTGTCATTTCCATCTCTTCACTTACTATGGCATGCCATGCCTAACAGAGATGAAAAAATGAATCCATTCTATAGACGTTATTTAGATAAAGTTCCCTGACACAATGGTGATTATCCTTCTTAAAGGAAAATGGAAACACTTGTCATCTAATCCTTGATGAGCCAAGCACATCAGAGGAATTGGCTTAAAGATTTCCCTTCCTTTGTCTCTGGGAATATGTAAGCCATGTTTTTTGTGATGGCATAGATCTGCTATCACTTTCATCACTTAAATGAGGCAGAATACTTTCTGAGTCTTTAGCAATATCTTGGTATGAAGCTGGTGTGAGGGGGAGTCAGAACTGTGATTATTTCACAATGATGATATGACTGCTTAAAGGATCTACATCTGCTTTACAGAATCCTAGTTAGTTTCATGCACACAGAGTTTAACATTCCCCCTTCCCACTCAGCACTACACAAGTCTATTTGACACAATTGCTCATAAGTGAATATAACTTAATAAACAACATCCATAAACCTTACTACAAAAAAGTAACATCTCTTAACTGTTGGTTTGCTGCCCTCAGATAGATAAAATAAGTTATGACGCTTTAATTTCTGTCAAAAAGTCACTGGCACTCTATCGCATGTGTAAAACCTAACAGAACAATACAGCACATTTATTAAAAATACAAAAGGAAATGTACCTTCAGCTTCACAAGCACAAAGAAAAGAAAATTTACCTTATCTCCTCATGTAAATTAAACCACTGCAACTGAAATACCAAATGAAGCTTCAGCACCACTTGCCCTTTACCTGGCAGCTGGACAAATCAGCAAGCAAGTCAGAAAGACTAGACAGAACAGTGGGCACAACTTTTTACTGAGTATCACACTGAAAGGCACAGGGGATTGCAAAGGATCTTGGCAATTTCTGCTTCCTTTACTTTCACTCCATTCACATTCTACTCAAACTGCTATGTGTTAGAGCTTCGCTCTCTCTATAGGCTCATTTTTGTTGACCATCGTGAATTAACTATACACATGGAAAAGAGCATTCCACCCTTCACCGGGCACCCCATTCCCTTTTATTTTGTGTAACAGTTAGGCTACATTAGTATATACGGAAAATAAATGCAACAGAACAAAACATTCAGCATATGAATTCATTCAGTATGAATGCTGATGAAGCTCAAGTTGTCGTGACAGTGCACATCACTGATAACCATGGCCTGGCAGTAGCTCAAGACAGTTGCATGTGACAGGAAGCTCAGGAGCAGGCAGGTCAGCCTTCTGCCTGCTGGAACAGGAGAGGTAGCTCAGCAGTGAGTGGGAGCAGGAGCACTAGCAAATGCCAGCAGAATATTCATATTATTTCAGGAAAACCTAACTACCTGAAGACATTTATCTAGGTGCACACTTCAAGGGAAAAATAAATCTGTTGTGTGAAAGTAATATGCTATCTTTATTGCTCTGTATCTCCACACAAAGGAATTAACATATTTTTCAAGAACTTTTACCATTGTTTCTTGTTGCTATAATCTGCAGTAATACACCTTCTACTTCTCGAGCTGGTGCTATGAAACTACATCTAACACAGTAGTTAGGCAGTAATGCAGCTCCTGTTTTCACTTTAAGCATCACTACAGTGAGAAGCAGAGCCCATCTGCCTCTGTAAGTCTGCAAGTTACTTCACATCCAAAGACCCAAAGACACCAAAGGGAGCTAAAAACACCTAATAACCAATGGGAGCATTAGGGAGTTGGATCCTGCAACACTCTAACACACACAAACACATCCAAGGGATAGTGCTTTACCTTAACCTTGTAGTAAGCCTTGACTTCAGGCAGGATGGAGTCGAAGTCACCACTGATGTAATCAGGCAAGAAGCTGAAAGAAAAGAAATGAGCAATGAAATGAAAAACTTAATTTTATTTTTTCAAGAGTTTCAAGGAGTAGAAGCATTGATCTCTCAAGGGAATAGGAGACAGTTACAAGAAAATTAAAATAGCAGCTGACACAAAATAATGTCACAGACAAACAAACTGTGTCCCTTTTCTGCTAAAGGAGCTGCGCACTGGCAAGGTGTTTACACATCTCCCGAAGTACCTGCTTGTTCTCTCAAATATCTTTGTAGTGTATCATACCAGAAAACTACCTGAACAATCACAGAATCGTAGAATCATTACAGCTAAAAAAGACTTCTAAGATAATCATGTCCAACTGTACACCTATCAGTAACATTGCCCACTAAATCATAGTAATAACATTGCCCACTCAGTCCCTAAGTGCCACATAGAATCATGATGGTGACTCTACCACTTTCCTGGGCAGCCTGTTCCAGCACCTGAAACAAGTTTATCTTTGTGCTGCACGTCAAGTCTTTGCAGATAAAACATGTCAGGAGATGGTGATGATAGATCTTGAACAGCTGATATCTCACAAATGAGGTACTTTTTCCCTTTTCCCTCTCCTTCCTCCTATTTACGTATTTATTACAAATCACTGAGCAAGGTAAATTCAGTGCAGCATCTTGGAATTTGGACAGCAATTACAGATACTGCAGTCTGAAGTCAGGGGCAAAGAATAATAATGGTTCAAATGAGACTGAGGAGCCATGACAGAAGTCATCTGAGACAGGAGTTTTCTGTAACAAAATAAAGATCTTCAGCAAAGGTCCCAAATTGGTTTCTTTCACTTTCAAAACACAGAATCATACAATCATAGAAACATGAAGGTTTGAAAAGATCACTAAGATCAACCCACCACTACTATGCTCACTAAACCACGCCTTTCAGTGCAAACATCTACCTTTTTCTTGAAAACCTCCAGCAGTGGTGATACTATCCATCTCCCTGGGAATCCTGTTCCAATACTCCACCACTTTTTTGGAGAATAAATTTTTCCTAAAGTCCAACCTGAACATCACTTCACGGCATTAAGCCACTACCTCTTGTCCTATCACTAGCTACCTGTAAGAAGAGGCTGACCTCCAGCTCACTACAACCTCTTTCCAGGTAGTTGCAGAGAGGGACATGAGCTCTCTCCCGATTCTTCTCCAGACCAAACAATCTCAATTTCCTCAGCCACTCCTCATAAGACATGCTCCACACCCTTCACCAGTTTTGTTGCTCTTCTTTGGACACAGTTCATGGCCTCATGGACTTTCTTGTAGTGAGCAGACCAAAACTGAACACAGTTTTCAAGGTGCAGCCTCCACAGTTCTGAGTGCAGAGGGACAATCACCTTCCTAATCCTGCTGACTACACTATTTCTGACAAAGGCCAGGACTCTCTCTCCAAGAGCTTGTGTTCATGGTTTTTAAGCATATCACTCTGTGATAAAAGTCCCTTGGCACGAGGCTTATGCTGAAACGGCGGTTTTGCTGGCTTCTAAAGCTGCTGCTGATCCCATGATAGTTTTTATTGACATGATAAGGTTTAAGAGCTTTTGTGGACTGTCAAAGTACTGTAAATAATCTTCTCAGTTTAGCATGCAAGGATCATAGAATCATAGAAGCATACAATTGCAAGGCCTCAAAGGACCTCAGAAAAAAGGACCTCAAAGATCATCCAGTTTCAATCCCTCTGCTGTGTGCAGGTCACCAACCAGCAGACCAGGCTGCCCAGAGCCACATCCAGCCTGGCCTTGAATGCCTCGAGGGATGGGGCATCCACAGCCTCCTTTGGGCAACCTGTTCCACTGCATTACCACCCTCGGGGTGAAAAACTTCCTCCTAATATCCAGCCTAAACCTCCCCTGTCTCAGTTTAAAACCATTCCCCTTGTCCTGTCACCTTCCACCCTCACAAACAGCCGTTCCCCCTTCAGTTTATACGCTCCCTTCAAGTACTGGAAGGCCACAATGAGGTCTCCCCCAAGCCTTCTCTTCTCCAAACTAAACAAGCCCAGTTCCCTCAATCTTTGTTCATAGGAGAGGTGCTCCAGTCTCTAATCATCAAATGATGTGCAACCTTTTTCTAGCTAAACCGAGTTTTTGAAGTTTGCTAATCTTGTGTCATGTAGAAATGTATTCAATACAGTTCTTATTCTCCTAGTGATTCGCTTCACAAAAAATCTGATGAATAGTAGGATCAGTCTGTTTTGCCACTGTGATATGCTCCAATTCACTAACCATGATGCTCATCTTCTCTCATTCTCCTGTGCTGAAGAGAATACAACATTGCTAACACTTTTTCTCTGAGAGAAAAAGTTCTTCCTTATGTCCAACCTAACCTTCTCTGGTACAACTTGTATCCATTTCTTCAGGTCCTGCTCGTTGCCTGGGAGAAGAGGCCAAACCTCTCCTCATCACAGCCTCCCTTCAGGAGGTTGCAGAGTGCAGTGAGGTCTCCCCTGAGCCTCCTCTTCTCCACACTGAACAATCCCAGCTCCCTCAGTCGCTCCTCATAAGATTTGTGCTCCAGACCCCTCACCAGTTTCATGTTTTTCTCTGGACGTGTTCCAGGGTCTCAAAGTCTTTCTTGTAGTGAGGGGCAAACATCAGCTCCCCCAGATAACAAATAAAGAGGGGAAATACCTCAGGTATATATTGAAAAAGAAAGCAACAGCAAATCATACTAAAGTATCTTTGAAGATACTTCGCAATAGTTTTCACTTCTTTGCTTTTGGCAGAGTTTTGTATTTACTCCAGAATACAGAATAGTCCAGGAGAACAGGCCCTGGAGAATCACACTGTCAAACTTGCTACAGGTGAGTGGAAGAAATGACATCAGAGAAAAGAAATCAGAAGGGCCTCTCCATAAAGTCTGTAACATCATCCCTCGCTGAAAGTATGAATTAAAAGCAGGTATTTTATTAGTCTTTTCCTCTGAACTCTCTTTCATGAAGAATTCTGCATCATAACTGTATATGAGATGATCATTTCTGTCAGTGACATATATAGCACACATCCTTTAGTAGAGGAAGTTATCTTTTTGCCCAAGATGGAAAAAGATATCTATAATTCCTTTTCAAAATTCCTCTTAAATTTTAATATCTGAATAGTCTAGTTGATGCATTCTAAGGCATTTTAGAACCGTATGTTAACAGTCTCATTTAGCTACTAAGTAGCACTCTGCGTATTAGGCTATGATCAGCTTCCCTGACTTGATTCTCTACTGCTTTATGCTGACATTTATCAGGAACAAGCCAACTCCATAATCCTGCTGGGGCTGAACATGTGACATTCACTCTAGATCAGCACAATCTGGGCCTTTCCTAAAGCTGTTAAGGAGCAGAACACCAGGTGCTAAGAACAGAAAAACTTCAGAGGTTTGATTCCCTTAGCTTATTGGCTTTTTCCTTTGTATTTAATTATTGTTATATTTATAATTGTTATTTTTTTGCTGTTGTTCCAGGTCATTACAGACATACATCAGCCATCTGATAAGTCTGGAGTTTTGAGTGCCAGAATTGCTGAAGGCACTTCTATAGCAGATTTATAAGAAAAGCAAAGAAAAATAAGTAAGCAAATTTCCTATATCAATCTTTCAAAGGTTCAACTAGGTTACCAAAAACCCTAGCACCATCTATTTCTCATAAGTCTTGAGACCAACCCAAATGGGGCATTTATGCAAACTATATAACAGCTCAGTGTTGACTGAACAGAACACGTTGGTGTACTGATGGACAGTCAGCTGGATATGAGCCGGCAGCGTGCCCAGGTGGCCAAGAAGTCTGATGGCATCCTGGCTTGGATCAGAATCTGTGAGATGAGCAGGACTAGGGAAGTAATCCCGCCTCTGTACTCAGCACTCGTGAGGCCTCATCTCGAATACTGTGTTCAGTTTTGGGCACCTCTTTACAGAAAGGACATGGAGGTGCTGGAGCAGGTCCAGAGAAGAGCAACAAGGTTTGTGAAGGGCTTGGGGAACAAGTCCTATGAGGAGAGACTGAAGGAACTGAGGCTGTCTAGTCTGAGGAAAAGGAGGCTGAAGGGAGACTGTACTGCTCTCTTTCAATACAGTTAGAGCAGGGTTGGACTCTTCTCACTGCTGACAGGTGAAAGGACGAAAGGAAATGGCCTTAAGTTGCGCCAGGGTAAGTTCAAGATGGATATTAGGAAACACTTCTTTACTTTAACAACCCAAGAAAGGGCTGTTAAGCACTGGAATAGACTCCCCAGGGAGTAGTTGAGTCAGTATCCCTGGAAAAAAAAAAAAAAAAAAAAAAAGATGAAAATATCAGTAGAGTCTGTGCACCCAGTTCTGTAGTACTGGACAGGGAATTTAAAGGAAAATACTTCAGAGAAGTAAATGAATATTCTTTCCAGCAGAATGATTTCTTTGAGGACGGAAATTAAAATTATGCAAGTCTTTATTTTTCTACTCTATTTCATAGCAGGTTTTTTATTTCATAGGAGGTACTATATATATGCAGTATCGATGCAGTATATATATGCACTATCCCAGGCAATTAACATGAAAAGAAAAAAGACTGATAAAAAGAATAGTCCAAGGTCCAAGTATGTAAGACTGAAAGAACTATTCAACTAAGGTATAACAATCAAGTTTTCCCTGAATTATATGCAATAAGAATATAAAGGTTTGCAGAAGAGATGAATGGGTTACAAAAGAAGTTAAAGTTCTAACATTGCCTCATCACTCCCTTTGTGTCTCTTCAAAAAGAATCACCAGTATCAGAGAACTACTTGCTGCAAGTCAGATTTCTGTCTGTACTCTAGATTTAAGGTATGCATACATGGCTCTGCAAGCAATCAGTAGAAGAGACATAGGCAATACACACAACAGTTAGTAATGCTTGACAGACTTCAGTCCGAGTATCAGCAATCCGCACATCAAACTTTTCACAGAAGACAAAGGAAGAAATTCTAAGTTAACTCCAGCTGCAATGCTACTTCTTTTCTTCTAACTAACTTTGCTGTGAAGGGCAAGAAGAAATCAAGCTTCTCCTGTCCTCCCTCGTACATTTGGTTGTTCATCTGCTGGCAAATATGTGCCAGGTTCTGCTGTACGAATAAAAAGGTTCATAAATTTATAAGTTTTGTCTCACCTGTTTACTCTGAGAGTCAACCTTACTGTATTTATTAAACTTCTTATCCGTGAATCCTTGGTCACAACAACTGAAAATCCTAAGTACAACTAACAATGGGTGTTTAGCAACCTGGAATTACACTGTGTTTGATGGTCCCACTAAAAAATGATAAACCATTGGAATGCATTTATTTTGCATCATAAAACCAGCTGCATAAACACTTCTGGGGCAGAAAACCAGGATTTTATGGACTTAAATGCCATTAGAGGAAACAAGCACTATTCCTCCTTCAGACCTATTTCCTCACCTAACATGTACAATTCTTTACAACTTCTGTACTTGCCTTTGGTCGTGTATGATGTCCTACCATTAATACAGAAATAATTTAAAAGAAAAAGTAGACAGCCTATTTTATTCCTCATTCCACTTCATGAATGCAAGCAGATTTTCTGTAAGAAATAAAGAGGACAGTTTGTTTCAGCCCTTGGTGAGAAGCATCAGATGGTCCTTGTCAACCTCTCTCAGGAGCACAGTAAGTTTTTCAAGAGGTTGCTGCAAAGCCTTAGCTCTGATGGAGACCTAAATGAGACAGATTGAAAGCTGAGCTATGAATCAGAGGAATAAAGACCAGTGGGCTTAAGAAAATAGGGTGTTTTAGGCTGCTTGTGTATTTTTAAAACTTATGACTGGGAAAAGCAATTAGACACACAAAGCAGAGAAACTGCCTGCCACTACGTGACTCTCAGAGCTGCTTTCTCACTAGCTGTCATCCAAAATGAAATGACAGTTATGGTTGAGAGTGCTCCATTGTTTTCTGCCCTTACACACAACAGGGGTTTTCAAGGAAGAAGCAATAGTTTGAGTTCAGCTTTAGCCGATCGTTTTGTTCCCACCAGTTCGACCCTTTACACCAAATAAGCTTCATCTTCAGAGGACCTGAGCAAAAGTTAAAAGTTACTAACGGAAATATCAGCCATCTTTTGGATATGAAAAAACATTCATAACTGAAAACTAGTAAAATACACTAATTTGGCCTTTTATCAGTGGTTGAGTATAGACATACCTCTACAGGGAGTTCAGGTTATGTTCACTGCTACCACATGGCCAGTACCATGTACAAAGCAGACAGCTTTTCACTGACTGAATAGATCCCATCCCCAACATCTTACTTTTATTTAGAAAATATGACTTTCATAAGTTCATGTTTATTATTAACATACCTGTCCTGATTTCCTTCTGTGATGTGGTATAGACGATTAGCACCTCCGTCAGCACAAGCTCTCAGTGCAGCTGCAAGTGAAGAAAGAGAGCATCAATATATGTTTATTTTAAATTAAAAATCTTAACCACTTCTGTGGTTTGACTTGACACTTCTTTCTCTAAAAAAAAAAAAAATTTAATGGCTTTTATCAGCCAAATGCCTATCTTCACCCAACTATGTCACTGCACTTTCCAAATAGCTGCCTTCTGTCTAACCTAGTGCCCATACACCTTTAACTGAATAGGAGAGCAAGTATTCAAAATCTGAACAGGGAGCATCTGCCACATACGGGCATATACTTGTCTAAAGAAACTGAAACTTGCATCTTTTATCTAATAGTCCTCCTTCAGCCGAAAAGTTACTAAAGACTTGCATAAAAACTAGCAAAAAAGAGGTAAGGCATTATAAATGCTATTTATTATCACCCGAATGGCATCAAAAGTGATACTTTCACTACAGTTCCCAGACTGCTCTACAGACTGGATTTAACACCATTCATTATCACTTTCTGGGCCTAGCTATGCATCTAGTTCTCTACCCAGCAAAGAGTGGCTGTCCAAGCCACAGGATGCCAGCTGCCCTATGAGAATACTGTGGAGGACAGGCTTCGCTAAAATCTAGGTAGACTCTGTCAACATTCTTTCCCTCATCCACCAGCTGGGTCACTCAATCATAGAAGGAGATCAGGTTGGCCAAAGAGGACCTTCTTTTCATGAACTATGCTGTCTGGGCCTGATCCCCTGGTTGTACTGCCCGCACTGTGTGATCTCACTCAGGATGTTTTGCTCCATAACCTTCCCCGGCACTGTTTTCAGAAACAGGTCTGTCATTAAGCCCCACTAGTCACTGAATGGAGCTCCCAAATAATGAATCAAAAGCATAATTAGTAATGCTGGTACAGTCAAGTTCACACATAATTACTTCATATCAACATGTGCATTTCCAAAGGTGTACCCTAATTTGCTATCATTGATATGCAGTATGCAGTGCATTTCATGTCATTTTCAGAGCCTTATCAATACACTTGCTTATGTTGAAGCTGTACATCAAACTACACTTGAAGAGGAAAGGAGCTTTGATGAAAAGAGATTAAACTGTCATATACACTGTGTAAAAAGCAGTGTGGGGATGAGATTTGGGACTAGCTCATTTATTTCACATGGGTTCCAGCTGCTGGTCTGAAGGTCTGTGTTTTGCTTTAGTGAGAAAACTATGCTCAAGAAGAAGGAAGGGTATATTTTAGAAAAGCAATCAGCAGTCAGTCTGAAGGCAGAATATTTCCCTTTTCAGGTAAGAACTAGCTTTATGACCCATCTGCACATGGCAGCAGGTGTCACTGTAAGGCAGAGGTATCACAATTAGCTATTTACTGAGGCACAGACAGGACAATAGTAGACAAAGATGCTTTGTGGTACATAGTAAAAACGTGGAGAAGCTTGACAGCTGGTAGTTAATTTTTTGTGCTAAGTAATTTGGCTGCAAACATGATCAAGCAGCAGAATGGTAGTATACACCTGCTTAAAAAAATAAATAAATAAATAAAACCCCCAACCATGGAAACACTTACTTCTGTGTTAACAATTTGCATAATGGCATTATGTGTGGTTTCCCATTCACTTCAATTTACTTACAGAGTCCTTTCCACACATTTCACTGCTATTCAGTGCAATCAGAACCCCATGCTTTTTTTCCTTGTAATTAATTTTTATTTTATTTAATATGAACGGGACTTAGCTTACAAGGTTTTCTGCTTACAACTGACATACTACAGGCCTTCTCTGGGTACTACCTTAAAAAAAGTCAGATGAAGCACAGAGTAAATGGATAACATATCCACAAAACAGACAATAGCCACAGGAAGCAACCTATAAGTTGCTATTTCAAGTGCAGCACCTCTCTCTAACTTGTGTCTGTAGAATATTTGCAGATAAAATAAATCTGAGAAACAATCTCATCATCTCCTTCCATTCCTCTATTTGTGCAAGACCTCTTCTTATTTCGCAGCTTTACAAAGATCCCAAGCGACGTACCAGATCTCTGCACAATTCCAGGCCAAAATCCCAAATGTAGAATTCAGACACAGATCTTGAACTGGGCTCAGTTTTTAAAACAGATTACTATTTAACAACAAACAAAGCTAAGGAACTCCAATAACACATATAACCATGGACCTGCCAGGAGCTGAAATTGAGGACTTTTGTTTGGAGAACTGAGTGGTCAAAGGCCGGGGAAAAAAAAAAAAGTGCCAAGATGATGTATTTCGCTGCAGAGCATGGCCAGCCAACTGCAACTGAGAGCTATGGAGGTGGCAGGCCAGGCAGCCTATGGCCAAGAGAGAGGCCTGAGGCCAAGTCAGGTGGTCTGTGGCCAGGATAGAGACACAGGGCCAGGCTGTGTGTGTTTTGGCTGGGTGTGTGTCCTGGGATCAGGACAAGTGTGCTGTGGCCAACAGCAAAGCCTGGGGTCAGACCAGCAGACTCTGCATAGGTTTCGTCAAGGCAGACATCACCCAAGCCTTGCAAGCACTTTCCACTGCCATCCCTGTCTTAAAAGGCAAAAGTGAGACCCAAGCTGAAAGCATGGCCTGAATCAGGAAGGCGCATAGGCAGCTGATTTACAGAATCACAGAATCACAGAATCACCCGGGTTGGAAGGGACCTCAAGGATCATGTAGTTCCAACCCCCCTGCCTAGCAGGGCCACCAAACATACACATTCAGATCAGGTTGCCCAGGACCCCGTCCAACCTGGCCTTGAACACGTCCAAGGACGGGGCATCCACAACCTCCCTGGGCAGCCCGTTCCAGGGCCTAACTACTCTCCTTGTGAAGAACTTCCCCCTAACATCCAGCCTAAATCTTTCCTCCTTCAACTTGGATCCATTTCCCCTAGTCCTGCTGTTATCAGCCCTTCTGAAGAGTTTACTCCCCTCCTGGGTGTAGGTTCCCTTCAGGTATTGATAGGCTGCAATGAGGTCGCCCCGCAGCCTTCTCTTCTCCAAGCTGAACAAGCCCAACTCCCTCAGCCTGTCCTCATAGGGGAGGTGCTCCAGCCCCCTGATCATCTTAGTCGCCCTCCTCTGGACCCTTTCCAAGATCTCTATGTCTTTCTTGTACTGAGGGCTCCACACCTGGACACAGTACTCCAGGTGGGGCCTCACAAGAGCCGAGTAGAGAGGGACAATCACCTCCCTGTCCCTGCTGACCACCCCTCTCCTGATGGAGCCCAGGATCCCATTTGCCTTTCGAGCTGCCAGAGCGCACTGCTGGCTCATGTTCAGTCTCTCGTCCATCAGGACCCCGAGGTCCTTCTCTGCCGAGCTGCTCTCAAGGACCACTCCTCCCAGCCTGTACGGGTGCCTGGGGTTCTTCCGGCCCAAATGCAAAACCTTGCACTTTGCCGTGTTGAACCTCATTAGGTTCACCCGAGCCCAGCCCTCAAGCCTGTCGAGGTCCCTCTGAATGGCATCCCTTCCTTCCACCGTATCAACTGCACCACTCAGCTTGGCGTCGTCAGCAAACTTGCTGAGGGTGCACTCAATTCCCTCATCGATGTCATTAATAAAGATGTTAAAGAGCACCGGTCCCAAGACAGACCCTTGGGGGACACCACTTGTTACCGGCCTCCACCTGGACATAGAGCCATTGACCACCACCCTCTGTCTGCGGCCTTTCAACCAATTGCTTATCCATCGGGTCGTCCACCCATCAAATCCACTTCCCTCCAATTTGGAGATGAGAATGTGGTGGGGGACCATGTCAAAGGCCTTGCTCAGGTCCAGCTAAATGACATCGGTCGCCTTCCCTTCGTCCACCAATGCCGTCACTCCATCATAGAAGGCCACAAGATTAGTCAGGCATGACCTTCCTCTGGTGAAGCCGTGCTGGCTGTCTCGGATCACATGCTCCTTCTTTATGTGATCAAGATGTTGTCCAGGAGGATCTGTTCCATGATCTTCCCAGGCACGGAGGTGAGACTCACCGGCCTGTAGTTCCCTGGGTCCTCCCTGCTCCCCTTCTTGTATATGGGAGTGACGTGACCCTTCCTCCAGTCATCCGGGACCTCACCTGACAGCCACGACTTCTCAAATATGATGGAGAGCGGCTCGGCAACCACCTCAGCCAGCTCCTTCAGGACCCTGGGATGCACGCCATCTGGCCCCATAGACTTGTATTCATTCAGTCTAAGGAGGCACTCTCGGACTTGCTCTGCCCTTACAGTGGGGAGGGATTTACCTCCTTGGTCCCCACATAGAGGTTTGGGGATGCAGGGTTCATGGACGTGAAGAAGACTAGAATCCTGGCCACCAGTGAAGACTGAGGTGAAGAACTCATTCAGCACCTCAGCTTTCTGAGGTGATTTACCTGTAATGTGAAGCAGCTTTACAAGAGGAAAGAAAATTCTACAGAAAATCTTACAAAGAGAAAGTCTGTAAAAGCTTTCACTTCTCATACAGCATAACTTCAAGTTGGTGACTACAGTTCAAGCAGGCACCAATTTTATTTGAACACTGAATTTTGACTGTGTCTTTTTTTGAAAAAAACAGTATTTTATGGCCTGTTGAAATTTGACTTTCCTTGGATTTAAGTAATGAGCTTTAATATTCATAACAGGAATACCCTGTTTGCAATGTCCCTTTGATGAACAAGTTTCAGCAAAATCTGTTTTGAAAACACGTTTAATAGTTAAATCAGAAACCACTTTCAAATCAAACATTTCAGTTTTAAAAGGTGTAATTTTTTAGTTACTTCTTAATATTTGTGATAATATAGGGAAATGCAACCACAGTGTAGGAAAAAAGAAAAATGTAGCATGTGCAAGGAAAAAGTGTCATTGCTCAAGATGTTCAATATATTCAGTATATTGGGTAGATTTGAAAAAATTCTGTCATTTAGAATATTAAAACATGAGAAATTTCCTTTTTTTTTTTTCCTACTTTATTTACTGTTGTGTGGCAACAGCAAATTTCAAAATAATTTTTATTCCCCTCTTTTGACTATCATCATAGACTATTTTAAGGACTGTTAACATTTTTAACTATCAAACAGCAAAGCAGCTTTAAAAGCAAAATCAGATTTGGTTACTGAGGAAGACTGTTAAGCAAAACAGACCTGGCTGGCCTGAAAGGGTCAAACAGGGAACATGCGGCCCCTCCTGAAAGGCAGGGACTGCCATGTGGAACATGCAGCCCCTCCTGAAAGGGAAGGACTGCCATGTGAAACTGGCAAGCATAAGTTACAGCTTCTTCGTTCCGTGACCAAGAGCAGAACATGTTCTGTGAAGAGAACGCCTTTTGATCACTGTACTGACCATAATCCACAAAGAGCTAATTAAATAATGATGTATTGCTGTCAGCTGCATGAATGTTATCTGATTTAAGTATTGTATACTCCTGTAGCTAAAAGATATAAAAACCCTGTAACAACAATAAACTTTGCTTCTTGCGCCACCAGAGCCTAAGCCCATCTGTTCCAGGCGTCTTGAGCTGGTCTCCGTCAGGTTACCATCACATTTGGTTATCACCAAATTTTGGTAAGTCTCAGAACAGCAGAAAGAGCACAAGACAGAGAAGCTTGTGCTTTTGTAGCCAGACCACATCCCGACCTGACAGGATATCTATAATGAAACATACAGGTTTGTGTTCAATGTCATTTATTTTCCCATGACTAAGTGACTGCTTAAGAGCTTGTTACACAGAATCTCAAAGATTCACGTATGGGTTAGAAGGGATCTCTGGAGATTATCTACTCCTCACCTCTCTGCAGAAGCAGGTTCCCTAGATTAGGCTTCACAGGAAAGCATCCAGGCAGAAGTTGTCTTTCATGCTAAGCATCTCAAGCTCTGGAAGGAGGTAGCATGACTAAGAATTTGGTTCCCTAGGGAAATTAAGTATGTGCTAAAGCGCTAACGAAATCTGAATTGGTCTCAGTGTACATGCATATAAGGATTACAGAGTAGGAGAGATCTACACAAATGCCTGAATTTAAGCATAAATTCCAGTGATCTACTGACTTCTGTTAGCTGTGTAGAAGAAGAAAGCATGAACTACTTCCTGTACGACAACAGCATCTGGTGGGTTGCAGAGCTTCCTACCATATATTCTGCACATTTGTGTCTATTAATAAAATATTGCTTAGCAAGATCTCAGGTTTTTAAAGAGATAACGCTAGTCTGAGAGACATGTCCCCATGCTACACTTTTTTACTGGATCAAATCACTCTAAAACAGTCCACTTTGCTAATGATTCAGGTATGTCACACTGTATTCCCCTATTCCCTTCAGAACAGCTTCAGAAACAATTAGTATTATTTTAATACCACTTACTAGGCCAGCCTCTTTTCAGTCTGTAGGGAAATGGCCAGAAACTGGAGCATAAGAAGTTCTGCACCAACTTGCAAAACAATTTCATGGTAAGGGTGATGGAGCACTGGAACAGGCTGCCCAAGGAGGCTGTGGAGTCTTCTTCTTTGGAAATATTCAAGACTCATCTGGACACCTACCTGTGCGACCTGCTGCAGGGAGCCTGCTTTGGCAGCGGGGTTGGACTTGATGATCTCTGGAGGTCCGTTCCAACCCCTACGATTCTATGATTCTGTGACTGTTATTGCTGATAAGATAAACAAACTTCTAAAAGAGGAATAAACAGTTGTTTATCACATGGTGAGACTACCTACTTAATGTATTTTCACTACAAAACTGAATAGCAATATCTGGAAAACGAACAGAATCTAGATTCAACCACAAATTTCTACTTTCTGTGGTAATCTAAGCTATGTAGTTTCTTTTTTGGACAGTTGCAGAATGTGACTGGATAAAATACAAGTCAAACTCATACATTCCCACCTCTTTCCCGTTCAAACACAAACATATTTCAAGCCTCAAAAACTCAAAGAATAAACCATACGACACTCCTGGTTTGCACAAGGTTGTCTCCACATCTCTCTCACTCCTTTGAAATATTCAGCTTGCCTTGAATCATTCTTGGCAAACTACTCTTAATGCAGAAGGAAAATAAATATTTCAATCTCTCCCCAATGATCAAACCCAAATAAATAAAAAGGCACTATTTAATCATTATTCTGAACAAAGAATGACAGAAGTAAGCTATTTTACTTTGTGCACTTCCCCCCCCCGTAACATAATGATGACCATTAAACTCCACTTTCTTCTGTCATTAGAGAGTTATGTGGTAATCCCAAACACATGAAAATAAATTGTTTACTCTAACTCCTCCTCCATGCTCTCCATATTTATGGTGGTTGTTACTTTGATATTTATAAACAGCAACAGAGAATGCTGTGCAAATGCAGCAAAGTCAGCATTAACTAATAAAAGGAAATCTCATGACAGAAGGAAAAAGTTACCAGCAAACATCAAACCCATCTGAAATTCACACACAAATCCACCCAAGGATAGCACTGCAGAATATTCAGAGTAAATTCCCTCAGGGAGTGCTGAATTTAGAGAATAAAATGAAAGAAGAAATGAGGAGTAAGCTGGGAGAGGCTCTATGTGCACATTTATATACATAAGTTATTCTTATTAGCATAGCTAGGGGACAAGCTTATTTCCTACAGATTTAAATATACAGCTTTAACATGTTAGTTCTTGTTGCTGTCATGTGAACGATTTCCACTGCAGCTTCTAAGACGTTAAACCTAAGACAAGCATTTGAAGAATAAAAATTACATGCTCATCTTTAACAAAACTAAATCAAGCAGAATTTCAGTTAAGTCCCCTTTCAAAACAAACAGGATAATCAAAACAATTTAGTCTCTCACAAATTACTTTCAAAGTGAAAAAAAAATAAAACGATCCTTTTAGCTCATGTAGATCTCCAGCATACTGCATTTCATTGCTGTCTCTACTGGGATTCTCTACCTTCATTCCAAAATCCTCTTCTTTGGCTTGATAAGCATTTTCAATCTACTAAAATCTATAGGGACTATCTTAAAAACATAAAAAAAAATCCAACCAAACAAAGATTGACTCTATTTATTTATATATGCACATAAAACTTGACTGTATGCATATTAAAACCATATACACATGAGAAACTAAAGCAAAAGATTTCTACCTGTGTTTTTAAAGACAAAAAAAGACTGTTTTTGTAATTTATGTAAACTTCCTTTAGAAGCAGAAAAACAGAATCTACAGTCAACACAGCATCTTCTGAATATCAGGTGCACTTCAAAAAGTATTTTAACTAATCACAGAATTACAGAATCACAGAATTGTAGGGGTTGGAAGGAACCTCCAGAGATCATCGAGTCCAACCCCCCTGCCAAAGCAGGTTCCCTACAGCAGGTCACACAGGTCGGCATCCAGGCAGGTCTTGAACATCTCCAGAGAAGGAGACTCCACCACCTCCCTGGGCAGCCTGTTCCAGTGCTCCGTCACCCTCACTGTAAAGAAGTTCTTGCGCACATTGGTGCGGAACTTCCTATGTTGCAGTTTCCAGCCGTTTCCCCTTGTCCTGTCTCCACTCACCACTGAAAATACTTGAAGTATATAGAACTTACTATCAACTGTGCATATGTTCAAGGTAACAAAGTAATATTTGTAGAATATTAATTGAGTAGTATTTATTTTCAAAGCAACGAAACAAGAAAAGATTTCAAATGAGAGCTCTGTTCTTTCAACAATGTTTCAAAGAAATGCTTTTTGAAGTAAAGTCAATGGGCTTCTTTCAATGATCATAAAAACTACTTTAATGTGTCAGTCTGAACAGTTCTCCACACAGAGCAAACAAAACCAGGGCTCTGTGGCTTTACCTAAACATAAATTTAAAAAGTGCCATCTTGCATAAAGCCATTATCATGCCATGCCATTTTCAGACAGAAAACACACAATCCTAGAATCACAGACTGATGCCATTCCCTCAGCTCCTATTGAAACAGTCCATCCATTTTCAGAACATCCCTGTTGCCATGAGAATTTGAAATGTCATTTGTGTAAGTCAGACACTTTAATCATTATGTTCTCACTATTTCTTTCTGTGTGGCCCTCATCCGACATGGTAATGCCTTTCCTATACTGCAGAGACCAGCAGAGAAAACAGGAATCCTCACATACACTCTGTAGTTCTAGAAAAAGAGAGGAACTCATTGGTGCCGTATTCAACTTGTCACCAACCAGAAATGCCAGCTCCCTTTCAGAAGGCTGCTCTCCAGAATCTCATTCCCAAGTCTGTATGTATAGTCAGGGCTACACTGTCCCAGGAGCAGATTCTAGCACTTGCACTTCTTCAAATCCAATTTGTCAAGATCTCTCTGGAAGACTTTTCCACCCTCAAAGGAGTCAGCAGAGCCTCCTACTTCAGCACTGTCCACAAACTTAATTAGTATGTAAAGTGTGATTGTTTATTAAAAAAGGCCATCATCAGTAAAACCCCTGAAAAAACCCTAGAAAGATGAAACCTATGTTACTCAACAGGTTATTCTTACTGAGTACCAGTGATAAGGCACGCACAAGTCGAATCCCAAGATCGCTCCATCCCTGGTTCTACTCTTGTAATCTGCAGTTAATACTTCGTTGCTGGGATTCTGTGATGGAGATGTTATGTTCACCCTTCTTTTTCATTCTTTTCTTTGATTTCCCTCTTTCCCCCTCTCCCTCATTCAATTTTTTGTCATGTTCATTTCGGTTGTTTAGACGAGCGCTGAGCAAGTGAATTAAACCTACTTCCTCGTTTAAGCCAAAGTCAATTTGTGGAGAAGGTTAATTAGCTGTATTTGTTTAGGTTAGTCCTGTAATTTAATTTATTGATGTGACAGTATATGAATGTGCCATGAAAGACACTTGAAAAGCGAAAAGGCTGGTCATGGAACATACAAAGCTACATATTAAAAATATGTACAGAGGTAATAAAAACTATTTTTAATGGACACTCTGATCATAAACATTTTACATCTAAAAGAATGCATCAGAGGATAGTTGCACGAGAAGCAACCAAGCCCCACAGTATAGTTTCTGTCTTTAACAAATCGTTAGTCCTTAAGTACATGCAAATGAGTTTAGAAACTTAAGATCAGGCTTCTTTTTATAAAACTCCTATAAGTCCATTTCATGGCACACTCTGATGCATTTTTTTTTAATAGCAGTGTGTAACACTGAAAATCACAGACATGCAATATCAAACCAGATTTGAATGATAACTGCTCTTACAACATGTACAACATAGAGTATACTTCAGCAAGTTTTCTTCTAGTTAACTTTTATGTGAATTTTCAGCCAACTATGAAAACTGCATGAGAGAAAAACATGATTCTCAATCTCTTTAAGTCATGGGTCAATCTGTCAGCATGAAGCATCATACAGCAGAAAGATCGGGCACCTTGGAACAACTGACATGATCTATCAGCGTTCCTGGTTATCTGGAGAGGTCCCAGAGGATTAGAGGTTTGACAGTGTGACTCCCATCTACAAAAAGAGCATAAGGAGGCCTATCCATGGAGCTACAGGCCTGTCAGCCTGACCTCAATACCAGGGAAGGTTATGGAGCATCCTGGGTGAGATCACACAGTACATGCATGGCATCCAGGGGATGAGGCCCAGCCAGCACAGCTTCATAAAAGGCAGGTAGTGTTTGTTCATCCTAATCTTCTATGACTGTGTGACCAGGGAAAGGATGCTGATGTAGTCTACCTAGACTTCAGTAAAACCTTTGACACACTGGTGGGATTTTCAGGGCAGATAAGTATTCATCTGCTAGTGCTCAAGCCTGTACAATCTCTTCATTCTCTCTATTTGTTGCCAGTTTCTAAATTATCATTAGCCCCTCTTGTAGGTGCTCTTACTGGCCGTGCAGTCACTTACGATGAGGCATTGCCAGGACCAGAAACAGTGACATCCACGTCACCACCGGCTCTCCACAAATTGTGGAACTTACAGCACTGGTCCATGTGTTTGAGCAATGGTCTGAACCATTATACAGTAGCAGATATAGAACAGCAGATTTATGTTTAAGTAGCAGATTCTGCTTATGTTGCAGGCATCGTGATGTGGCTGAAGCATTCTTATCCAAAGGAAACAACTAACGTGCAGCTGTTCGCACTTCTTTTGCTCTTAAAATGGTTTCTAGATCATCGCTCGGAATCTTTCTTCATTCAGCTTGTCCGTTCTCACTCCTCTCTGTCAGGACCCATTTCCGAGGGTAATGCGCAGGTGGACAAACTGGCAGGAGCAGCTGTTATCCCCGATCAGTTTGCCCAAGCACAGTTATCTCATAATTTTTACTATCAAAATGCAAAGGCATGACAGTGTGCCTTCCAACTGACCACCGATCAGTCAAAACAGATCCTACAGTCCTGTCCAGACTGTCAAACTGTTGCACCAACACCTTCTATTGGAGTTAATCCTCGAGGATTGAGCTCCTTCGAAATTTGGCAAACAGACGTTACACACAAACCAGAATTTGGGAAGTTCCGTTATGTTCATGTTTTTATTGATACATTCTCCACCTGTGTTCTTGCATCTGGGCATACAGAAGAAAAGGTAAAAGATGTCTGGAAACACTTCCTACTGGCATTTGCAGTTCTTGGGGTCCCAAAAACAGAACAGACAATGGGACAGGATATGTAGCCCATGCTACCTACTTCTTCTTTCAGAAGTGAAGTATTCAACACCAGACAGGCATACCCCACTCTCTCATAGGTCAAGTTATCATAGAATGAGCCCATGGCCCTTAAAGGCCATGCTTCAGAAACAAAAAATGGGGAGCACGGGTATACGACCCCTCAGGAAAGAGTAGCTAAAGTGTAGTATGTTCTCAATTTTCTAAATCGCTGGACAACAAAAGGGCTTCCAATTTACAGGCATTTTGTCTGTAATACCTTAACTCCTGTCAAAGTAAAAGAACAGATTGTGGTAAAAAATCTGAGCTCTAACAAGAACTTGTGATGTAGTAGAACTTGTGATAACTTGTGATGGAGGTTATGCTTGTGTTTCATGCTTCATGCTGTTCCTTCGGGTTTTATCACTCATCATCACTTTGCTACACCAGCGCAGTGAAGACCAGGACAGCCAGTGCCCTCAACCAGCTAGCAATGCACCTCTTAATGCACTGTAGGATACAGCTGGCTTTCCTGAACACTCACATTCAACCTGCTGTCAACTAAGATCCCCAAAACTCTTTCAGTGGGGCTGCTCTCCAGCATCTCACCTCCGAGTCTGTAAGTATAGCCAGGGTTGCTTCTTCCCAGGTTCAGAATCCAGCACTTGCTCTTCTTAAATTTCATGCAGTTCTCGACTGCCCAGCTCTTTCATTTGTCTGTGTCTCTCTGTCAATTTGTCTATTGTCTCTCTGAAAGACTCCTTTGACGGAGTCAGCAGCTCCTCTCAATTTAGTATCATCAGCAAACTTGTTCAAAACAATTCCTAGTCCTACATCCAAGTAATTTATGAACTGGCTCTAAAATGGAATTCTGAGGAATTCCATCAACGTCTCTGTCTGTAAGTCACATCGAATCCCAATTACTGTAACTCCTTAAGCACGGCCCATAAGCCAAGTGTTCACTCTGTGTCAGGTTTTTGTCTGTATGTATTCTGGACAATTTTTCCTGAAGATTACTGATGAAACACCAGAAGATTACCTCCACTGGCTTCCCTTGGTCAAGCAGATGGGTGACCTTGTCATAAAAGGAAATCAAAATTGTTAAACAAGACTTTATACTTCTGAACCTGTGCTTGCTGTGACCAATGAGACTAATTTTCCTTCAGGTGTTTCTCAATAACTCACAGCATAATTTTCTTCATAATTTTGCCAGGCACTGAAGAGAAAATGACAGGTCTGTATTTACCAGGGATCTTCTTTCTTGCCCATCTTGAAAACTGGGACAATGTTTGCCAGCTGTCAAAGTAATTACAAACATTAAAAAATAATTGAGAGAATTGAGAGAGGTCTCCCAATGACATCAACCAGCTCAGTACCTTGGGATGAATCCCATCAGGCTTCACGGACTTACACACATCCAGATGGAGCACAAGTCTGGAGCTGGTTGGGAATCAGGTTGCACTAAGGGTGATTCAGGTTGGATGTTAGGAAAAATTTCTTCTTCAAAGGAGTGGTTAAGTGCTGGAATCAGCTGCCCAAGGAGGAGCTTGAGTCCACCTCCTGGACTCAATACCTGGAGGTGCTCAAGAAAAGTTTAGATGATGTACTAAGGGACATGGTTTAGTTGGGAAATATTGCTGATAGGTGGATGGTTGGACTGAATGATCTTGGAGGCCTTTTCCAACCTTGATGTTGCTATGGTTCCATGAATTGATTGTTACTGCAGCCACAGACCTACAGTTCAGGGCACCTGGGGTTCCAGAACCCAGGCACAGAAGGTATCAAACTTCCCTGCCTTGTGTATGGCCCACATGTGTAAGATGACCATTCTCATTAAAT